CGCGTTTCGCTAGACCCTCGGGGGGGCTAGTTGCAGCTTTATAGATAAAGCTGCGCTTCAGTACGCTATCCGGGATACAAAGAGCGCTGCCTGGCCTCCCCAGAACCGCAGTCCCGCGCCTGCAGGCAGAAGGGCTCGAGGCATCGCGCAGCACGGGCACGTGAGGCTGCAGCAGCGGCGGAGCTTCTCCTCTCCCCCTTTCGTGGTCTCACCAGGATCCCACCTGCGCTGGCCCCCGTCTTTCTCCTTCCCTCCCGCTTCGTGCAGCTCCCGGCTGCCCCGAACCCCGCCGGTGAATCCCACGGATTTGGCTGCCTTTCGCCTGGTGAAGGCTGGAGGCAGCACTGGGTAGCTTTTTTATTATGCCAGAAAACATGCTGATGTGTCACATATATTGAATACATCAAACGTTACCTTCTCACCATGCCTCATACTAACCGCGTATCATTTATTACTTCAGAAACTGCAGACTGGTCTAGTTGCATATTTCGCAAGTCACCTGTAAAATATATATCTATAAAAGCATTACAGGAGCCAGGACTCAAGCAGGGAAAAGACAGTCTGCTCTCACCGGGCACTACAGCCTTACCAGCTGCACCGGCTTTTTCATTTGTACCTGGCGCTGCTGCTTTTCAGCGTTGTAGCGACGTCCTGGAAGTCTGCTGTGCGTGGTGGGTGTTTGCGGGGTGGTGGGGATGCACGTACATCGCTCACTCCCTCAGTTTACAGTGACCCTAAACCCCTCGATGACAACCCAAGCCGAGGCTCCCCCTTTGCAGTCCCGCTGGCTTCCCGGGGAGGCAGAAGAGCCCGCGTGTCTGAGCGCTGCTCGAGGGGTTGCACTCTGCCAGGCTGCTGCTGCAGAAGTGGGAATTAGCTCCACTTTCTGCTAAGTATTTTTTTGATTTGATTAATCTAATTTACTGCATTATATTATTTACCTCATGCAAATCTCTTCATACTGATTAAAGCTGACATTTAAGCTAAGAGATGAGATTTGGGAAAAAGTAATAAGGAAAAATTATTTCACAGGCTTTTGCATTTTAGATTTGCAGGGAGGATCAATTACATTTAAAATTTAAGGCCCAGACTTGACCCTAAATCTCCTTAAGGGAAAAGGGGAAGAATTACTTCCTCAATTTGTCATATTTCAGCTTTATAGACTTTGGCTCAGCAAAACCCAGTGGTCTCTGCACAAGATGCTGTTGGTTTTGGATGGTGTTTTAGATACTACTCGTAGCCAGCAATGAATGCAAGTTTGAAAAATACCATGTTAACAAATTTATTATTGTTACGGCAGAATTATGGTTTCCTATATGGCTATAGACTTCCTGTTCAAGTAGCTGTTTCTGGGTCGCCGAAGGAAACTTGTTAGCTATCTTTCTGGATATACTTTTCAGCACATAGATTTATTATTTATTGATTTCTGCTAGTGCCCAAAAAGTGTTAGGTCCTATACATTTATAAAGTGCAAACCCCATTCCAAATAAGAGATGACAAAAGCAGTAAATTAGCCTCTGGAAACTATGTTTTGGGGAGAGAGGAAAGGTGAATTTTGCAATAATGACTTAATTCCCACAACAGCTATATGGGCATTTTTATTTCTTGTAAAACAGATGTAGAAAGGTTAAGGACCTAATAAGGGTCTGATTTTCAGAGATCTAGTACTTCAGAGGGCTGAATACCTTACAGCTTCCTTCACATGAACCTGTATATGAGAACCTCTCTGAACAGTCATCCATAGCTTACGCTTGCAAAAATAGATGTTTAACTCTCCACAAGTCATAACATTGAAAGTTTTATCTAGACAGAGGTCAGACCCTTTTTAGTGTAAGTGTGGGTCCATTCCAAATGCAAAAAGACTGAACAAAAAAACATCTGGATATTACAGTGTTGTTACTCTGGCTCCAGCCAAAGCGTGAATCAATGCCAGAAAACAGGACTGGAAGTTGCAGTTCCTAGCCTTGTGTTCAAAGCAAAAGGCCACATTCACAAACCCAGTAAAAAATACAGAGTGAACACCTACGCAGAATTGTTTCACTTCTTAATTCATCCCAGACTGAAATGAGACTATGATTACATGGGCTAACATGAAAGTCATTCATCCAAACAAGGTCTCTTCATGACAGGCATTTAAAGCCTTTAATGGAAAAAATCCCCCCCCTCCCCACCAAAATGGGAATTAAAAAATGTTTACATTATAAAATGACTGTGACAACTCAGCTGTTACTTTTTTGCCCTCAGCCTAGAAAGCGTTTCTTACATTCTTGTCTCAGCACACTACCTTAGCCTCCCTTCATGTGCAGCACCATAGTAATTCATCATTACCCGGTCTCCAAATTATTCTAGTGTTGATTAAATTAGTAAATGCAATCACAATCTGAAGCAAGTTAATTGAGAGAATTTATTTGGCCCTGACAGTTTTATGCATGTTTGATTAAGTATTATAAGGTTTGTTTTTGATTTTGCATAATTTAACTTTAAATCCTGCACTGGGGGGGGCCCATCAACTATTAATGATCAAAATAAACTCTCTTAAGATGCATATATTTATGATTTATTTCTAAATGTAATATCTTCCAGATTTTTTTTGTTCTGTTGCCAAAGTGACAAATATGTTTAAAGCAATATTTTGAGCCATTCGGTTTATGCTATAAATCTTCTGAAATGTACACAATTCATTAAAAGTTTTGAAAGAAGTACAAGTTAGCATTTATATGGCAACAAGTGACATATAAATGTGTATGTTTGTCTGCGAAGCATGCCATAAAATATATCAGCACTAGCTGGCCGCTGTGACTAGTACTAATGGCCCGCTCTCTGGGCTGATGACAAGTTTCATCACAAATCTTCACTGCTGTCAACACCAAACTGTTCAATCAACAGGAATATGAGTTGTGTCTTTAGTAAAATTAGCGCAGGAGAGCAACACAGCGGCTACAGCCCCGCTGGAGCGCGGGCGGGCGGGCGCTCTGCGGGCTGAACTTACACGTGTTTGCTCAGGATCTTATCTCTTCCAATGTCAAAGTTGCAATTCATGCTTGGCCCAAGGGCAGTATATTCACAAAGGCACACATTCATTTAAACAGAAAAAGCGGCCAAAATATTTCAGGCGGAAAAGTGAATGCTACTGTCTTGGGTTTTTTTTTTTCTTTTTTTTTGGTCATCCTGAGCTAAGAAATTAAAATCGCCTGCCCGTCTTGGCGCGGATACCGCTGCCTCCCGGCTCGGCCCTGGCTCGGCCGGCGCGCAGGGTGCTCAGCAGGGCTGCCCGGGTTTTCCCGAGGCGAGGAAAGACCTTCCGCCCGGCAGAGGATCCTGCTGGATCCCAGGAGGCCTTGGCATTGCCCCTTCCTCCCCGGACGCGAGCTTGGAGCCACCCGAACGGAGCACGCGGCGGGGTCGCCCGCTGGGAGCCGTTTGTCCCGGCGCTGCCGGCCCGGCCCAGCACCTCTGACAACAGGCAGATGGCTGGAGTTATTATTATTTAAAGTTTTTTCCCGCCGTGGCAGTGCCTAGATGGCAAGCAGGGCAGGGGGCCAACAGAAGTTTTGTATGCTTTCCACCACAGAAAGTGAACCCCAATTAAAGCCAAGAGAAAACAATAGGAAGGAGGTTTCTTTTCCTTTTCTATCGCTTCTGATTTTTTTAATTTTTTGTTACTTTCTGGATCTTTCTGGCCTCCCCAGATGCCAGAGCCTCTTCCCTGCGTGATTAACAACCTTTCTTTTCCGAACGCGCTTCAACGACCCCCGTGGTGTGAGGCAGCCGGCGTCGCCGCCCACGGGGCTCGTCCCAGGCCGAAGCGACCGGCAAAAGGGGGTTTTAAACTCGGCCCGGGCTGACGAGAAACGGGGCT